CTCACCTACTTCTGTACAGAATGGTCAGATTTTCTTTCTTTTCTCAAATTCACTCCGTTTCACGGTGGCAAGAAAGAAAAGCTAATTTTTTGCAAGAACAGATTAATTTTTATAAAATTCAAGTTCAAAAAAGACAAAACATAAGTTGTCAAAGGGGAAGTTAATATCCCAATGACGTAGAAAGTTTTCCTGTGAATGTGGGAAGTTGTTCTATTGTAACAATGGGGGAACAACTTCGGTTGGAACAACATCTCTCCATAGTTGGAGAAATAGTTACTAGATAGTTGGAGAAAATAGTTTATGAAAAATTAAGCAAAAAATAATCTTTTCTTTGTTGCCACTGGGGAACGGAGTGAATTTATGAAAGAAAAAATCTGACCATTCTGTACAGAAGTAGGCTGAGAAATAAGTAAAAAAAATGGAGGGCCGATAACAGGAAAGTACCGAATTAACTTAACGTATTAATATTTTATGGTGTGATCTAGCCTGAAAGACTAAAGGGCACTTTGTTTCACACTTCCGCTATTGTTACTTTCCCATTAAACATTTGTATTGTTTCATTATTTATCCGGCCATTAATGTTCATTATATAACGATTTACAATCTTCACATTAGAGAGAGTAAGCCTAACACTTATATTATTTCAGCATAATGTAATGTTATGTGAATAAAGGCGCTTTAACAACTTTTTAGCTGTAACATCATGCTTCGGCAAGCCTGAGGACCTGATCAACCCTCAGAGATTTACTGATTAAGGTGAAAGGTATCACGGACTTAAGTCTTACTAAATACCCCAAATGGAAAGACCCTCGCCAGCACGCTTCAATTAGCTGCTGTTTCTATATCATTAACGATTATATTTTGATAATTTATCTTTAACATACTAGTAATGTCATTTCCTATCTTTTCTCAAGCTCCCACGGTTTTTCGTTCATATTTTCCCATCAGGTTGGGAAATTACTTTTAAAAATCGCATATATCATAAATCAGGTAATATTTTTGGATACTGTATATTATACATGACCGTCGGCGCAGGTCTGTTTAGTGCAAATGGTCTGGCGAGGATAAAAGTTTACAATAGTTTCCGTATATAATTTTGTAAACCTTTCAAATAATGATTAGACTAAACCTTTTTCGTTTTAAAAAATAATTTTTTTGGTCTAAGTCCTCTATTATTTCGTTTATAATTGCCACAGGCTCGGCACAAATAATGTTCTTTTAGGTATTTGTGCCAATTATTGCATTTTTTGATTCCGCAATTGAAGCAAGTTCGTTTACTTCCTTCAATAATTTCACCTATAATAATTAAAAATAAACCGATTATTACGCAATTGAGGCGTAAACTTAAATAAATCTTAATTTTACTTATTATTTTGCTAATGGAAATAATCCTGCTTTTCAATTCATTCGGATATTCAACTTTTTGTTTCTCTAACAATTCAATTTTATATCCAATTAAATTAATTTGTGACCAATAACTTGATAAAATTTTGTCTTTATAAAACTCTATATTTTCTTCTATCAAGTTAAAATTATTTTTATATTCCAAGCTTTCATTTAATATAGAAGTTTTATAATAATTCTTTTTCTCAATAAAATTATTATTTTGAAGTATCTTAAATTTATGATAAATTACTTCTATTTATATCAAGGTTAAATAATGTAGATTATATATGAAGTTTAAATGGATATTAGGTTGTCAGCTAAGTTTTGAGTGGAGGATAAGTATCATCATTCAATTGTAGATCGGAATCACGATACCGCTCAACTCTCGTTATAGTCCCACATGTGTGGGGCTCAAAAATTCATATTTTTTTCTTCTTCTAAGAGTGTCCTATTTTTAGGCAAAACATCAGGCTCATGAGAATTTTTTTCGAGTTATATTGAGAATATATTCCCAAAAAATAAGATCAATTGTAGATCTGCAAATTGAATAAAAATTTTCAAACCTACAGTTAAAGGCGAGCTTAAAACTTGGTTGGCAACCTAAGTAATATTTAAAATAAAATACCCGTTTTTCAAATCCAGGAAGTATTTTTTGAATAATTTCATTATTGATAATTTCAATTAAAACTTTGTTTTTTAATTGAGCAGATGGAATATATTTTGATATATCAATTATTTCAGCATTAAAAATATTTCTTTCAATGTTAAATTCAATTGGACGCAAAAATTCATTTATGTTAAATTTTAGGCTACTTCCAAATTTATTATTATGCTTTTTAATAAAGTTTAATACAAAACGCTCCTGAATTTTAACATTTTTTAAATAAATAAATTCTCTTTTTTCTTTCCAATCATCCTTTATTTTCAAATCTACTTTAATTTTTTCTCCTTTACTTTGACTATTCAACAGAATAATTAAATATAATACAATTATGATAATAAATTTAATCATCTAGAATTTTGTTATATTTATAGTAAAGCAGCTGGGCTATAGCTATTTATCTCCTTTAGCTAGTGCAAAAGGTTATTCGGCGGCTGGGAGCGAACCAGCATCTTAAGTAGACCGGATTGATGTGTTAGCCATTACACCACGCCGTCTACTGCACAGCCTTGGGAAATAAATAGCTATATGCTTTACAATAATAAAAATATTCATAAAAATAAAAGTTTTTCAAATTTTGGTTAGAATTTAAAATAATTAAATTATTGTTGAAGTCTCATAAACAAATAGGTATGTATGTCTCATTTTTAAACTTTATTTATATCTATGGACGTAGATGAAAAAATTATTTAATAATCATATTTACTTTGGCAATTGACGAAAAGTGCAAATTTTCATTTCCTCTAAGTGAAAATAATAAATGAATGTCATATCTTTACACTTTATTTATTTGCACTTTTACTTAGTGATTAATCTATAAAATTCTGTAGCTTATTTAATATAAATCGACTTAATGTCTTAATCTAAATGAGCTAGCATATATTTTTTAAGCTTAAAAAGCATAATGCGAATAATAAAAAAATAAAATAAATTTCATAAATTAAATTTCATCAACCCTTGTTTCATCAATTAAATATAGAACAACTAGAGTTTAATATTTATCCAAAGATCCAAATAAATCTTTTGATATCAGTAATGGATATCAAAACCGCCCGTTTTTAATATAATCCTCAGGAAATATGAAACAATTCTAATTTTGAAAATTTTTGTCAAGTTGAGCATTTTGCGAGTATATCCGCTGATGGATATGACTCAGGATTATTATTTTGACAACAAATAAATAAACAATAATTATATAATAACATTTTTATTGATAAAATTTGCAACAATTATTTTATTTAAGCATATCAGCAAGAATATGTCGAATTATTTGATGGATCGCTTAAAACATCACATCCAGAACATGAAACTAAATTGAGGAAACTGAGTTTAGCCAAATTAAATTTTAAAGGGATTTTATTAATTTAACAAAATTGGATTTTACGAAGGGCATCTTTACGAAGGGCATCTTGCCATTATTAGGATTGGAAAATTATGGAATATTACCCAGGCAAAGATCTTATTTAGTGTAATAAATTTAAGTTAAATTGAAGAATGATCCTTCTAAATAAGGCAAGGAATCGCTCCGGCAAGGCGCCCCGGCAAGGAGGTTCATCCAATTTTAGGCTCAAAAATTTTAAATTCCTAGCTACCCGAAAGAAACGGAGCATTCAAAAAAGTTTTGCCATTAGGTATAAAATTCATGCTTGGTGAAAACTCGTATGTTTTCTTTCCATTGCTGATCTCACTTGCTCCTGTATTGAGAGCCAAAAATGAATAACTTGCTTAAAATTAATAGTATTTTTAATAAATTCTCGAATAAGAACAAACAGTTTGCATAAATTAAATAATCGGCCTCATAGAGTGGAGCATCCTGTGTGACCACGTAACATCCTTTTTGATTAGAGGCACAAGCACAGAAAAGTTTTGAGTCAGTACAACGTACTCTTACAACGCTTATTTCACGAGGATTGTAGCAGATCTAATGGGTATAATAATTTTAAAAATTAGCTAGATTCATGACACGTTTCTATATCTTCAGGCTTATTATTAAAATTTTATTTTGCTAAAAATCACGGACTTTACCCAGATTTTTAAGTCTTTACTAGTAAAGATTTAAATTACTTGTAGATAAAAAAACATAACACTATAAAGGCAGGAAACTAACAATTTACTAGCTTGTGTTTACAAAGGTTTTATGTAATAGAACCAAAAAATTATAAAGGTTCCGAAATTTGATAATTTTGAACGAAGTTTAAGCCCTGAAAATATCAGCCATCCAAAAATGCAAAAGTGATATAGGCTCAACTATACAAAAATTGTTAAACTTTTATATGGGCCCAACTATATAAAAATTAATAACCTTTGATATGGTATTTTGATCACAATTATCACATCTACTTGCCGGCTCATTATTAATACTTTGATTACTATCAAGAAAATTTTTGTCGTATAGCATTGTTGACTGATTATCCGCACATGGATCGCAGGCTGTCTTCCCCGATGGGACCAGCCACACCAAAATAAATGATACTATATATTTACACAATACTGAAGAAACAAGCCTCATTTTACGTTAGTTTATGATGCTAATCTAGAATAAAAACTTTAAAAAATCTATATAGGAGGTCCTTATAGTAGCTTAGGAGTTATAGTTGGCTTAGGTGCTATAGGAGGTCCTTATTAGGAGCTATAGGAGGCTTAGGAGCTATAGGAGTTCCTCTCCCAGCTAAATGAGGGCCTAAGCTTAAAAAATGTGTATCGTTAAGGTAGTTCTCTCCACAAAACGGCCAAACTGATTAAAAAATTAATATGAATAAATTGAGGTAAATCTACATTAAATAATCTACCTTAAATATATCTAATCTGGTTTTGGGTGTATTTCAATTTATGGATTTTAAAAAATTATATGTAGTTTGTAAAATATTGTGCGATTATTAGTATGTAAATTGTTTCACTAAACTGTTTTTGTTTTTTATTGGCGAGACAGAGAATTTGGGAAGAAAAAACAAGGAAAAAACTGGTTGAGTGGTAGAGCCTTACACTTAAATTTAAATTTAGCAAAAGGCAAAAATCAAAATATTATAGCAAAAACTTGTTTATGTACTTTATTAGTTGTTTTCCATATTTTAAAGGTAAAAGTTCAATTTTAATGTTTTTTTTCATTTTAATTAATTTATTTGCATGGATTTCTTCCAACTTTCGAAGTAATTGAATTGAATTAATGAAAGTAATTGAATAAAGTAATCTAATTGAATCTTGTGAAAGCACTCCTTCAATTTCAGAAATACTTTAACATTACTTTGATGAATTGGTAAAAAACTGCAATCTTAATTCAATTCAACTACTTATTATGCTTAGGACGTGATAGAATCTAAGTAGGGTTAATTTTGGCCAGAAAAAGACTATTTGGCCCGATTCGGTAAAAATGAGCCCCTAAAAACTGACTGTAACTTCGACCAAATTCTAAAACATCAGTCCAATCTTAGGCTAATGTATACAACAACGAATAACGTAATTATCTACAATGACGAATAAGCCTACATGAACAAGCCCTCATATCCAAGACTATCCCACAACCGCTGCTGGTGGCTTTCATTTAGACAAAAGTTTAAGCTCATAATTTAAATTTTTATCTACCTATTTTTAAATATAGTCAAATTTTGCAAAAGATTACAATTATCTACAGAGATATTTAGTTAATTCCACATATTAACAAAAACATAGTACATAAAGTAAAGCGGTTGGTCCCGTTCCCCAGTGCCTTGTTGTATTGCTGATGTTATTAGCAGAGTCGCGCATGTTGCAATCATGTGTGAACTCCGCAGAGTATAGAAATAAGTTAATCGCACGCAGTGGGGGAATATAGGGAGACGTCTCTCCCTTTACACGATGGATAAGCCGGCCGGCAACTCTGTTGAATGAATGAAGAAGTGATCTGCCTTTGCCTATTCCATTAGAGCTTATAAGCACCAGCCTATTTACTAATCGCTTTCCCAAGGATAAGTTAGTGGCGATGTTAAGCTTAGATAATGGGCGGCTAATAACTCTCTGGGAATGGCCGTTTGTAATATTCTTTCCTTTTCTCTGGGAACTTCCGCTACTTAGCACAAAGTTTATAGCGACATTATCGTTCACGTGATTTCAGGATGAACCCAGCCTTACACCTCTAACCTTCCAATAGACCGTCCCTGGTCGTTAAGATTTGACCATCCTCTACACCTCTAACCTTCCAATGGACCGTCCCTGGTCCTATTTTTGTTTTGTTTTATATGAATCCCTCAGGATTTAATTTTTTTGTAAAATATTAATTCATTTTTTTTCACATGTGAGAGTCCCGCAGGACTTATATTTAGAAACATGAATTAATAGTTTGCGTAACGTTCAGAGAAAAAAAATTTTGAACTTAACGTGATTATGAGGTTTATTGAGATTTTCCCTTGATACTGAGGATTTGACAGAATCAAGTTTGAATATGAGATCTACTTCAATTCTATAATTCTTTATTTTATTTATCTTTAATGAACCCCTCAGGGTTTGTATTAATGAATCCTGGCGCAAGCTGAAATTTTAAAGAGCTAGACGCAGCGAAGGATTGGAAGAACAGAAGGCCTTTTTGTTAAGATCAGTTTTTGTAAAATTAAAGCGATAGTAGTAGCGGACTTAATTTTGTGACAGGAACGCGAGACATTTTTGTTTTTGGATTTTATTTTTGAGTTAATGAAAGAATTTAAAATATTCAGACGCATGCAACAAGTATAGCGCGTCGTATTATTTGCGTTTATTTAATTTTAATTATTATTCAATTGAACCCCTCGGGGTTTTGTAATCAGATTGTGGATAAAAACCCGTTCTTAATCTTTTTCAAGGGTTTCCATATTTTTAATTTTGAAATATGATTATTCACATATTTAAAACAACCTATACACAGGATCACTAATCCTAACTGGAATTGATACCTCTGTGGTTAGATGCCTCAGTGGTTTGTTGTTAGTTCATTCATTTTGCTGACAAGGTCGTTTAATATTTCACCTTGTTCTTTAAGCATTTCTTTGATGATGAGTTGTTCTTCGTCAACTTCTTCCAGAGTTGGATAATGTTCCTGGTTCTGTCGTTTCCTACAATTGATCTCAAAATGACCTACCTTGTCACAATAGTTGCATATTGGTTGGTTGTCCCATCGACCATAGTTATGAGCTGATTCACCTTTTAATTTGCAAGAACCCCACGGGGTTTTAGTTTTGAAATCTTCATTCAATTCTTCTTCATATGTTAATATATTGCGTGATGTGCCTTGATCGGTTATCGAGCATAGCGGACTGAACGTAGCTTTTGTGTTGGCACATAGCATTAGCTCTGCCTCCTGAGCATTTAGAAGTAGGGTGTCGAAATTATTTCTGTTAGGCCCAGTCAGAGTTCTTGTGAGAAATTGAAGATTTGGGCTAAGCTTTTCTAGGAAGGTTCGACAAAGCACTTCTTCCGAGGCATTTCCTGTGTGGTCTGTAGAAGTTGCTTCTATCATAGGAATTAATCTCGAAGCAAATTGCTCTACTAATTCTCCTTCATTCTGTTTGCATATGCTTAGAGCTTTGAAGATTAGCTCACGATTTTGTGTTGTATCTAAATTTTCTTTTATTTTGTTAATGGCTCCCTCAAGAGTTGCTTTTTCAGCTTGGGGTATTTTGTCAAATATTCTTCGCGCCTTTCCGTCAAGACATACTTTGAGTCGGGCAATTTTATCTGTTTCATCCCACTTACCATTGCATTCGATTATGTCTTTGAATTTCCTCGCCCAGTTTCCGAACTCAATTACTGAATTGCCCGAAAAAATTGTGAATGTTGGAGAGTTCTCTGTTGAGAGCATATTAATATAATGGAATCCCTCAGGATTTTTATAAAATTCGTTTGTGACTCCCTCAGGAGTTTTGATTGTATTATTTTTTAATGAATGTGAGGATCTTTCCTCATAAGGAAAAAAAGACATTGAATTAGTCGAGATTGGAATTAATAATAAAAAATTTTTAAACCTGAAAAATAAAAAATAATATAAAAATAATTAAAGTAATTAAAAATGAATTAATATTTGCCAAAACCCAATAATGAAAGTGTTAATAAGTGGAAGGATATAAATTAGATTAAGAAGCTAAGATATAAGCTTTTTTTAAGTTCAAGCTTTCCCATTGACTAATCTTTTATTTATTGGAGTGAGATTAGATAAGGTTTGTAAAAGTAATATATTATTTGCTATCTGGGAATTGTTTTCATTAAAATAAAAAGGAAGAAAATTTTATTGTAAAATTGACTTCCGATCACTGAGAAGATATTAATGTGGCTTATAGTAATAATTCCTGTGGGAAACATTAATAATAGAAAAATAAAAAAAATTAATTTTTTGAATTTGTGTAATAAAGTAGATTTTCTTATGGACTTTGTTCAAGAAAAAATTGTAATTTTCCTTAAAAAAATTTTTTTGTATATTTTCGATTTTGGGAAAACTGAAGGAAATTTGGGCAATTAGAAAGAAGAAAAAAAGGAAGACCGAAAACATAATGTCTGCCCTCAGAATTTTAATATTAAATGGAACCCTCAGGTTATGAAGTAAAACTGGTTCAGCTTTGAGAAATATAGTTTTTCTATTAGTATTTTTGAGGGCCCACGCAAAAGTTATTTTTTGCAGACCTATGAAATTTTGTTAATCCTCATGTGAAAATGTTTAATTTTTCTCTCAGAATTGATCCTTTTTGGTTTTTTTATAATTGATCTTTTTTGATGGAGAAATTAGACATCAAAGTTAAACTTCATGTAGTGTAAATATTTTGGATTTTTTTTACAAAAAACAATTTTTGCTCAATGATCCAAAAAATGAATTAAAACCAAAAAAAATTTAAAACCAAAATTTAAAGAGAGAATTATAAAGAATTAAAATCAATTAATGGAAGATCAAATTAATGTATAATCAAATTAATGGAAGAATTTAAATTCCAAACATTAAAATTCCCCTTTATTTCACACAATTTTTAAAAAAGAGGCCCGCATGTAAAATAATTAAGACCAGAAAATGAAAAGTAAGAACTTTGGAACTTATGGTCACTAATAATATTTTGTATGGCCTCCGCAGAGGTTATAGTTTTCTCTTGATTGACTAGTTGAGAATATAGCCCATAAATATTTTTCAGTCTTGATACACCTTAGAGGAAAACAGAGTAATAAAAATTGTAGTAGTTAAGGTTATAAAATAAAAATTCTAGATTTGTGTGAATTGTTTATTTAATAAATCGAAAATTAGAGAAAAGAGAGCTAATTTCTAAAAATTGTGCTCTTCTTTTTGCCCAGTTAATTTTTAAGACAGATCTGAAAATGAATCATTTAGTAATGAAATTAATTTCAAGAGGTGAAGAAGAACGATAATTTAATAGATGAGTTCAAAATATTTTTTGATTAGCGTTGAAATGTATGGCTACTATTTTAGATATGGCTAAGTTTATGCACTAATTGTTTTAAAATTGTGGGACCCCGCAGGGCTGAAACAGCGTTCAGGACTATTTTGATATCGATAAATATGAATTTAGTTTCCGCCAAAATAAATGAGAGAATAAAATATAAAGCCTTGCATATTTACTTTTATTTGTACCCCGCGGGGATAATTGAAAATAATAGAGAATAAAATAGCAAAGGAAAAAATATCTCTATGATAAACAATATATAAAAATATTTAAAAAGATTCATAATTATGAAAAAGCCAAAAAAAGTATATTTTCCATTTCATTTTATAGTCTTTCTCTATAAATAATAAACTTTTATGACCCTGAAAATTATGAGGGAAAACTTTCTGAAAATATATTTTTTAAAATTCGTTTAGTACCAAAATTCGTTTAGTATTTTCTGATAATTTATCTAAAAACAAAAAAAATAAACCATTATTTTATTTGATTCCTTAAAACAGGATTCTTTAAAAAATTTTTTTTTAGAAAAGGAAAATAAAATAGAAAATAATAATATAGAATAAAGTGAAAATATTATTGTAAAATTAAAAAAACTGAGCATAAAGAAATCGCTCCTAAGAAAATAAAATGTTTGAACCATTTTTCCGTCGGAAATAGTTTGAATTAACAGAAAGATATAATTTTATAGATAAATTTGTCTCCAAAAGAATTAAATGAAATTTCAAAAATCCCGCGGGATGACTAAAATAAACTATTTTAAGAGTTGTTTTTTTTAAAACTATCAGATTTTAGTAAGTAAACTTTTAAATGAACCCCTCAGGGTTTAATTATCTTTAAAAAAATAAAATAATCAATAAAAGAAAATAATCAATATAAGAAATTAAAGGAAAGAAATAATGTAATAAAAATTCTTTGAAAATCCAAAACAAAAAAAAAAATTTTTTTACAAAATTATTTTAAAATATTTAGCTTGTTGGAGAGGAAAATCTTTCTATTAGTTTTTTTACCTACTTTTTCTAAAAAAATTTTTAACGATTTTCTTCCTATTTTTCTTTACTTTCTTTATTAAAAATCTTACTCTCTCAGCTATACATATTACACCTTTTTTTGGATTTCATTAAATATACAAAAGTTTACTTACAAAATGTAATTTTTAATGGAAATTTTCGAAGTCTAAAAGAATTAATTTCCATCCTTAAACGTCATTTGTTGTAGTTTTTGAAGAATTTTTTTGAAGAATCTCTTTCCATCTTGAAATCCATTTGTAGAGAAAGGTAGTAATGCATGAATGTGAGTATAATAGAATTTAAATAAAAATGTATAATAAGAGATAAATTTCGCGAACGCCGCAGCGTTTTAAATGATATAACAATAAATACATATTTGGACCTTTTTATAAAATTCTATGACAGGCCAATTTTCTAAAGAATTTTTTTTTGTATTTTTTTTGTTCGTATGGCCTTCTCAGAGGGTCTTCATTAAAATTTATATTTTCTATTTAATTTGAATTAATTCGTAATTGATTTGATTGTTTCCTTTTAGTTTCTTCCTATTTTATAAATGTATATGGCCTCCGCAGAGGTTAGATCACTCTATTTACCCACTTATATTTTCTAAAATTTTCATTCATAAATTTATTTATTTATTATCAAAAATGAGGGTTACTGAGGAAAAGTAATAATAATTTTTTTAACACAAATGGCCTCCGCAGAGGATAGATCACTTTAAAATTAACCCCCTTATATCTTCTAAAATATTCATTCAAACATAAATTTATTATCAAAATGGGGGACCATGGATTTTGAGCGCAAAAAATATTATTCTTGAAAATTATTCATTCATTAAAATTAAACCGCGGATTTTGAGTGCACAATAATAAATCAAAAAATCCATCTTTAAAAATTCCCCGACCTATTTCTTACTCAAATTTTCCGGCAAAAGGTGAGGAACCATCCGGTGCTACCAGTAAAGCGGTTGGTCCCGTTCCCCAGTGCCTTGTTGTATTGCTGATGTTATTAGCAGAGTCGCGCATGTTGCAATCATGTGTGAACTCCGCAGAGTATAGAAATAAGTTAATCGCACGCAGTGGGGGAATATAGGGAGACGTCTCTCCTTTTACACGATGGATAAGCCGGCCGGCAACTCTGTTGAATGAATGAAGAAGTGATCTGCCTTTGCCTATTCCATTAGAGCTTATAAGCACCAGCCTATTTACTAATCGCTTTCCCAAGGATAAGTTAGTGGCGATGTTAAGCTTAGATAATGGGCGGCTAATAACTCTCTGGGAATGGCCGTTTGTAATATTCTTTCCTTTTCTCTGGGAACTTCCGCTACTTAGCACAAAGTTTATAGCGACATTATCGTTCACGTGATTTCAGGATGAACCCAGCCTTACAATAATAACAAAACTACGATTCAAAACAAATATTTAATTTCTTTTTATTCCCTCATCGCCCCTCTATTAGGTCTTTTTAATCCATCTAGTGAAGGTACTTCTTCCATATCATCAATTCTTTTATCGACAGGTATTGCTTTTCTGACTCTTTCGAGTTCGACTCTTTCCGTTGTAGACTGTTCGCTAACAAATGAATCTGGTAATTCTTCAGCTCCATCCAATTTAAGAAATGGTGCCCCGCTTCCAAATAGTGCTGAAAAAAAATTTTTCTAAGAAAATCTCGAGGAAAATTTTTTTGAGGAAATTTCTAAGAAAAAGAAATAGTCTGACCATTTTGAGCGTTTTAAAAAAATTATGGGGAGTGATAATTATGGGGAGGTCGCCCTCATTTTAAGACATTTCTTTCCTATCAATTCTTAAGACTGACAATTTTATCTTATTTATAATGACTGTATCTTTTATGTAAAAAATTTTGTGTCTCTTAAATAGAGGTTTTTTTCACTCTACCTGAATCCATAAATTGTGCTTCCAATTTCTTTATTTCCTCTTCCTTTCTCTTTTTTGCCAACTTATTGCTAATGCTTTTTTCCCTTTCACGACGTCGCTTCTCTTCATTCTTTTTTGATTGTTCCCAACTTTGATAGCAATAATAAGTCAAACCCTATAAATTTTATGAAAATTAGTTAAAGTTTAGTTGATGATTTGGATCGACTACCCTAAGAAAATTTTGAAAACTTGGCCAGATTACGCCCAGGTTTGGGTTTTCCCTCAATCCCGACCCATCCCTGCCACAAGACTAGGGTTGGATTTTTCGAATCGGGCCGACGTTCGAGTCCTTTTTTTCGAGTCGGACCGGTCGTCTTTTTCGGGCCTCATATTTATCGAACCGGGCTGTTCACATCTTTCTCGGGCCAAAATTCGATGCCCGGTTCGATCCATCAGTCGAACCGGGCCCCAACCCTACCCAAGACCCTTACGAAATAAAGCAAGGGGATTCTTAGTCGACTCAAAACTAGGTCTTTAGCAGTCCTAGCATACTGTATATGCCCCACTCCCTTTCAAACTCACAATTGCTAGAAGAATAAGAAGAAGCACTCCAATCGGTACACCGATGACGATGAAGAGCATTGCCCAATTTGTAGATATTATGCGTTTATCGTCCCCCGCCATTTCTTCTATTATGTTTGACAATCTTCTCTTTTCAACAATAGGATCAAGAAATTCGTCTTGGTCTTCTTCGTCCAACACAGCAATTGATTTGGCATATATTGAAGTATTAATGAAGAGAAGAATGAAGGCAATTATTGAAAATAAAATTTTTGAATTGGCCATTATTGAACTGAAAAAAAGTTTCTTTTGGGAAGGGAAAACAATTGAACTTACATTTTAGAAGAAGCAAAGAAATTGTTGAATAAACCGGGACGATAAACAAGGAAGAAATGTTGTAGTAAAGTTTGTGTTGTTTTTTGTTGAGGGCAAGTTTGGTAATGTTTTGGGTGTTTTTATAGTATCATGGGCAAAACTAAACAACAATTTGTTCATTCAGAAACAACAAAACTCAGCAAATCCAACTTTAAAAAAATTATTATTGAAATAACTAAGTGTAAGAATTATTCACCTAGCAGGATTTAAAACGCTTAGGTGGGGGGTTAACGATCTAAAAAGGGAAAAGAGAAAGCAATAGTCGATAATCCGGGTGCTCAGTGGTAGAGCTGCTGTATGTGGTGAGCGAAAATGCCTAGCAATAACTGCGAGGAGGTTGCAGATTCGAATCCTGCCCTGAATCCTGCCCGGTGGCTAAACTTTTGCTAAACTCTTACTGAAGGATCTCACCTTTATGTGACCCTCCATTAACGTTGGAATTCTCACGCGACGTTACATAAATAATACAACAGAGAATTCGAGAAATTGGTAGAAAAACGTAAATTTTGTTTAAAAATCGTTGTGAGCAAGTACCGTATATGCTCTAATAATTACCCTGGGTAATTATTGTTTCAACCTCTCGCTGAAGGGGGTAATTAATAGAGCGTGGGTAATTCGAGAGAGGGTAATTAATAGAGCATATACGGTATATTACAGAACTAATTTGCTCATTTTGGAACAACTACAGAATTGATACAAATCCCTTATAATTTTTGATTTTTTTTAAAAACTTTCAAAAAACTTCCTTCTTAATTTAAATTTATGATTTTCTTAATTTTTTTATTTTAAATTTGTCTAGCCAAATTTCTTAAATGAAGCAAGCGTATCGCCGTTAATTACGTTAAAGTTTGGCTTCGCGTTGCGGTTTTTAAGCTTGTGTAAGGTATATCCGTTGATTGCCTAAGCAAAGGTGATCTTTTGGGCGAGCATTATGTGTTAATGGATTTTCCCAACCATTACACTTTAATTATTATTTATCTTTATTTCCTGTGTCACCTCCCATTCACATGCTTATGTTTATATATTGTTTATTGTTTCACCGATAGATCATTTCCCAGTTAGTCAGTCTTCGTGTATATATGTGCCTATAAGGAAGAGCACACCGGTGTGGCTCAGTGGTAAAGGTTAAGCTTGGGTCTAGCCAACCCACAAGCTATCCTTAGGGATTATAATGGTTTAACTGTGCCTAGGTATATTTGACAGAGTGGACCCAGCATGATTCCACTCAACTCTTGTTTCTGGAATCTCTTTTTTAGAAGAGTTTTTCATGGTACATAAATTTAAATTAAAAAATCATTTATAATAAAATTTAAAAATTTTTTCATTGATTAAAACACCTGTTAAAATGTAAATAAATGCAAAATAAAATTTTATTTCATTGAAAAAATTTTATTTATTTAATTTAAAATTTTAAAATTGTGAATTTAATCTTATTCTTTAATGTAAAATGCAATTTTTAAATTATCATAAATTGAATATTCAATTGATGCTGATTTGGTGGCATTTGATTAAGCTTGAGGAGCTCTCGAATGAGATATTACATATGTATTTGCTATGATTTTTTAATATTCAGGGGCTATATATCTCGATCGCCGAGCTCCTTTCAAATTACACTAAGCTTGAAGGTTGGAAGGTCCTTCAATGACCTTCCAACCAGTGATTGAAAGGTTCCAGTTCCGAAACTGGAACCGAAGAAATCTAAAAAGCATTTCCAGAACTGGAACCGATTCCGGAGAAATTTTGAAACTTTTCTATCACTGCTTCCAATCTTCTCAAAATTAACACATGCTTTGCTAAAAAGAAAGAAATACATATTACTTCTTGGCCTTCAAAATTGATATTCTCCTATGATATTCTTCAAATCCCTGATTATTCCCTAGTCTACCCTCCGAACCCAATTTATGATAATTAGAGTACGTAAACAGCATTAGAAATCTTATTACAACTATTTTAAAATTGAATAGACATTATTCCTTAATTTTTACTCTTTATTTTGAAGCTTTTTGAATTTTTTCATTGCTTGTGTCATTTAATTTTTTTCAAGCAAAAAAATTTTTTAATTTAGCAAAGCAAAAATGCTTTTGTTTACACAAATTTTTTATTTTATTGCCTTTCTCTCTTTATTTCTCAATAAACCTATTTATGGATTACTTACAAATTGCTTGAATGGGGCTCCTTGTGATTGCGATCCTGACGTTATTGACTATTGGGAAGATTTAGAATTTACAACTACTTCGGAGCTTTTAACAACCACAATGTTTGTTGAAACTACAGAAAAATTAATCACAACAATGGGTAATACAACGACAACGGGTTTACCTACCACCATGAAAATATTAGAGACTACACAAAATGAAGAGACGACAAAGACAATTTTGACTACAGAAAGCTCTACAACACCAACTACAACTGAAAGTGTAGTTACCACAATAAAAATGTTAGAGACTACTGTAAAAGAAGAGATGACAACAGAAAGTGCTGTTAGCACAACGACAGAAAATTTAGAAACAACAAAATCTCCAACAACTCCAACACAACCAGAAACAACCGAATTTGCTTCAACAACTACTTTAACTACTACGGAATCTTTGCCTACCACAAACATTACAATTCCTTCAACAATTCAATCCACAACTATCGCCACAGCATTACTAACAACTGCAGAGTCTACAACTTTATTGACGACAGAAAATATTGAAACGACAACTTTAGAGGTAACAACAACCACACAGCCGACGACAGTTGAACCGACAACAACTAGTACAAGTACGATTATGCCGACAACTACGATGCGTAAGTAGCCTTAATAAATTTTAACTTAAGTCAACGCTCGAAATATATTCATCAACTTAAAATTTCAGCTTGCGTTCCTTGTGCAGCTGGGCAGTCGTTAGTGTTATACGACAAAAATATTTTGAATAGTAATCAAAGCATTAATAATGTACCTGCATATAGATGTGATAATTGCAATCAAAGCACAATTTCAGAGGTAATTGCTTGGCAATATAAAAATTATTGTGACGAAAAGGCCTGGTCGGCCATTGTTGGCCATATATCGATAAACGAACAAAAATCTTAGTTCTTTTCAGTTATGTGGCCCAAAAGTCCCCCAAAATATTGATCTAAACGAGAGGATCTTTATTAAAATCATTCGTTTGAATATGCCACAGGGCATGGGGTAAAATTTAGGATGATGAAAGCTGCCCATTATTTCTCCTTTTTGAGAAAAAATAATGCAGACAAAACTTGCGGACTTTTGGGCGACATAACAGAAAAGAACAAAAATCCTTAATCCAAAATTTTTATTAGGTTTGCTACAATCCGCGTAATATAAGCGTTATAAGAGTACGATGTACTGATTCAACGCTTTTCTGTGTTTGTGCTTCTAATCAAAAAGCTTGTTATACAGTAACAGAGAAGGCACCACTTTACGAGGCTGATTATTTAATTTATGCAAACTGTTTGTTTTCATTAGAGAATTTATTAAAAATTTTATTAATTTTAAGCAAGTTATTCATTTTTGGCTCTCAATACGGGAGCAAGTGAGATCAGCAATGGAAAGAAAACTTACGAGTTTTCACCAAGCATGACTTTCATACCCAATGACAAAACTTTTTTGAATGCTCCGTTTCTTTCGGGTAATATTATTTAGTAGTAACCTGGAGGCAAGATTGCCACGATATTCTGTAAATGTTAAGAAATCGAATATTTCCTCTATTAGAGTGGCCCCTCCATAATGGTCATCTTTAATTGAATGGCCCTCTGGAGAATGATTGAAAAATAAAATGGTCGGTCATTCTATTAGAGGAAATACGGTAATCCGAAAGAACTCGTTTAGCTGCTCAAATAACTTAAGATTGGTCCGATGATGTGAAAAAAGGAACACGCGTCTCGGATGCGTGGCCTCGCAAAAATAATTTAAGATTGATTTATCAAAATATTATTTTTTAATAAGTTTCTTAAATTTAGTTTCTTGTTCTGGTTGTGATGCTATCAGAGATCCGTTAAAGAATAAACCGTATACTTGCTGAACAATTTCATGACTATTCATAAATATTTACATAATATACCGTATTTCCTATATTAGAGCCCCATGGGGCTCTATTTTTCAACTATCCTCCAAGGTGGGGCTGTATTAAAGGGTGGGGCTCTAATTGAGGGTGGGGCTCTATTTTTCAACACGCTTTTGAGATAAAATCCCATTTATTAAATATCCATTGCAACTAGAAATGGGCTGGAGGAGTGGTCTATAAAACCGAAAAATATCAAAAGAGAATCGAAATTTTCGATTTTTCACAAAAATTAAAACGTTATAAGCAATGAATAACGAAATAGTCGCAATAGTTCAATGAGAATAAAATTACTAAGTATGAAATTTTGGTAGATTTGGACGGATTAAAGGAAATATTAGGGGACTAGTATTTGAATTGATGGATCAGAGGTATAAAAGTTGATTTTAAGCTATTATGGGGAATATAATAGGATTAAGTTTATATTGAGAGATTTAGATGGATTAAGACGGATATTCTGGATTAGGGGTATTAGGAGGCATATGAAGCGATTTTGTTTGATGAGGCTTTGGAACAAAAGATCTCTAATAATCTCTAAGATCTTTCATAGATCTCTTGTCTCTAATAGATCTCTAATAATCTCGCGAATTATCGTCAATTTCCTAACACGATTGCAACCCTTCATACAATGATTAGATTTTGGAGGTAATAGGAGGGATTTGGAGGAATATAGGTGATATAAGAGTATTTGAACGGATATCGTGGTTATCTCCTCGTTTTCATCCCTATATCCCCATGATCCCTCCTCCTCCATGATCATAATATTATCAATATCCCCCTTTACTTCCTTAACTCTCGAAATACATCTAAAAGGTTATTGGGATATTTACTTCCTCCAATATTTTTAAGTGGGGCTGTATTTGGGGTGGGGCTCTAATGGAGGGTGGGGCTCTATTTTTCAACTATCCTCCAAAGTGGGGCTGTATTAGAGGGTGGGGCTCTAACAGAGGGTGGGGCTCTAATATAGGAAATACGGTACCTAATTTGAAAACATAAAGTAATAGATAAACATTTTGTCTAAATGTTAATTTATATGGCTATTATTTTCAAATAATGCCACGAGTTCGTCCTAGCATGTACCGTATATCAAATAATTACCCTGGGTAATTATTGTTTCGACCTCTCGCTCGAGTGGTTGGATAGGATAAATTCAGTAATAATTAAGCGAATATTTAATAAAATAAAATAATTTTGATTAGATGTTGAAAAGTTAAACAAATTTTTAGAATCCTCGAAGAAGGGCAAATACAACTCAAGTTGTAGCCATAAAATTCAATTAAGCATAAAATTGTAATAAATAAAATGGGATTGATTTCGGTCGTAAAAAATTTATTTTTAGATTTATAATAAAAGAAAAAAATTTAAAAAAGTTGAATAAAAAGAAATAAAAAATTTAAAAAATTTTTATCTTCTATAATAAAATGTTTCGATAAAAAATTTTTTTTAACAAAAGAAACTTAATAAAAATTTGAGGGATTTTTGTTGAATTGAGGAAATAAATTTTTTTGATATAAAATTTATGTGAATTTTTATTAATAAAAAATTTTTGGCCAAGTTTTTTCTTTATATTTAAATCAGTGAAAGCTTTTTATATTTACCTAATCATTTTTTAATCACAAATTTTTTTAAACTAAAATCTTTCATAAGAAAATTTTAAAAATTTAAATATAATAAAGTAAATTTTTATTAAAATGCCCCCCATACGATTTTTTCAATATATTTATTTTGTGTACTATCTTCAAAATTAGAGAATTTTTTTTATTAGACCATGCCATATTAATACAAGTCTTACGTTTGAATTAAAATTGACGTTTAAATTATATTTGAATCCAAGAAATAAGTCAGGCATTGAATAAGTTAGGCATTCCCTCTTTGACTTGATTGTGATTTGAACGGTCAGGACTGAAAAGATACCACTAATGTCGGTTCATCCAATAGGTACTTTCCAATATGGTAATTGGGTTAAGATATGACTTCAAGCCCATAATGTCATTTTTATTAATTAATAAATGAAAATAAATAATTTAAAAATATTAAGGGTAAAGTAACAAAAATGACCCTTATTGGATTAATTATCGCTTTCTGTATTATTCCTTCAGTTGTCGACGCTGATTGTCTCTCAGGGAACTGGACAACGCGTGTTGCTACAGATGGAAATACATATGGTTATCAAGTACTTGCGAGAGACTGGCTTAATTTTTATGAGGTAAAAATAATTTAGTCCTAGAAAAGATGGAGAAAATGCTTATTAGGAAGTTCGCAGCTTTATTTTAAATACCGGAAGTATTAAAATTATTTTAAAGATTCAGGAAAAATTTTAAACAATAGGAATCGTAATAGTAAACTAGGGCTGGTTAAGTAAACTTTAATTAAAAAATTTTTTGTTTGATAAATTTCAAGGCCCGCGCTTTATGTCTCGGAGTTGGAGGAGATGTGGCATCTATCCACAGTAACGCTGAGAATGAGTTTGTTCGCCAGTTGGCCGCCCCCTATATTATCGGGTGCCAGACAAATAAAACAACATGTGGTGCTAGAGCAACTACAAGTCTTGATACTGTTTTAAGTGTAGTTTGGTTGGGAATGCATCGTTGTCAATATTTTCCAAGTTACAATGCTACAGTTGATTGTATAAATTCGGATGGAACGCCTTGTGATTATGCGGCTACAAATGCCGTAATTCTTACAGGCCCTTCTCCTTTCCCATGGGCTTGGGGAAATCCTTCAGGATCTGACAGCGGAGGCGGAGGTAAATTTTTATGTAAAAATTTGCCGACCAGTGTGTGTTATTGAGTGTTTTGTGGGGCTCGGCCATTAGGTTAAGGCTCCAGATTGAGCCAGTCCCGGTGCTAGCTTACGGTCCTATAGCCAACACTAGTACGACTAAAATATTTGAATTATTAATGATAATTATATTTTTAAATTTAAAGCTGGTCTCATTGAGGACTGCGTTTCAATGTATAATGCCACAACTGGGGAGTGGAACGATTTATCATGCTTCCAAAAATTGGGTGGCGTCGTTTGTAAAAGAAATTGTACAGGAACATGTGGAAGTACATCTATCAAGAATGCTTTAATTACTAGCCCTTCTGACATAACGGACAGTAAGTGTGATAAATTATTAAAATGACCTGTCTAATAATTAAGCGAGTTGTACATCGGGCAATTGGACTAAAAGAACAGGAGAGGATGGAAACACGTATGGGTATCGAGTTGTAATGAAGGATTGGCTTAATTTTTATGAGGTAAAACGCAAAAAATACTCGAGATTAAATATAATTCCTAAATTTAAAGGCAAATGCACAATGTCTTGCGCTCGGAGCTGAAGTCGTATCTGTTCATAGCGCAGCTGAAAACGAATTTATTCGACAATTAGCCGGCCCATATATAACTGCGTGTCAAACAAACACATCGGTGTGTGCCAGTAGAGTTTCTACTACTCAAGACATTCAGTGGCGTTCACTCTGGTTAGGCTTGCACCGTTGTGCATTTTATCCTACATATAATGCTACGGTTGATTGCATTAATTCGGATGGAACAAGTTGTGATTATCTTAACATCACTGGAGGTCCATCAGGAACAGAAACGGGAACAGCCTGTAAGTATAAATCCAAGAGTTTGATACTATCTAGAATCCTAAAATACAAGAATAAACATTCAAGTGATTTCTGGGGAAGGAACAAATACTTCTCGGGGGAGGAACCAATTGTATATAATACAAATCTCAATCGGCAGATAATTTTCCAACAATACTTTATTCAAAAAACTTTTTAATAAAAATGTCTTCGTTTTAAAGCTGGTCAACAAGAAGCATGCGCTGCCATGTACAGCGCAACAACTGGACAGTGGAATGACATAGCATGCTTTAACAAATTAGGCGGTGTAATTTGTAAAAAGAACTGTTCGAACGCATGTGGAGTTGCATCAACAACTACCACACAATTGACTACAACTACCACACAGCAAACTACAACTACAACCCAACCTTCCACTACATCTACTGCTGAACCAACTACAACAACAACCTTACCAACTACTACAACTACTTTACCAACAACGACAACAACTCTGCCTACTACCACAACAACCGAACCATCTACAACAACAACCTTACCCACAACCACAACAACCATACCCACAACCACAACTACTTTACCAACTACCACAACAACCTTACCCACAACCACAACTACATTGCCAACTACCACAACAACCTTGCCCACAACCACAACAACCTTGCCAACCACCACAACAACCTTACCCACAACAACAACAACCTTGCCAACCACCACAACAACCTTACCCACAACAACAACAACCTTACCCACAACCACAACTACTTTGCCAACTACCACAACAACCTTGCCCACAACCACAACAACCTTGCCAACCACCACAACAACCTTACCCACAACCACAACAACCTTGCCAACCACCACAACAACCTTACCCACTACCACAACAACCTTACCCACAACCACAACACCGCCAATAAGTATGTCATCAGATTTTTAATTCTTAGTGCAAAATAATAAGAATGATTCCTTCTCTTATCTCTATCATTGAATTCCTTAAACTCTAGCGAATAATTAACATAATCCTAACTTAAATATTAACAGATTGCGCTGATTGTTCAGCTGGTCAATCGAAAGTAATATACGAAAAAAATACATTGTTGAGTAATCAAACAATTAACAATTTGGCAGCAACCGAGTGCATCTACAATTGCAAGGACAAAGACGTATCCCAGGTATTTTACTTAGACAATATAGAAATGTTTTCTTAGTTGTTGGGTAGTGGGACAGTCGATTATAAGCAGTCGGCTTATGCTAGCTAGAGCGGCTAGTCACTATTCTCCTTTGTCTGTTCAAACCACTCTTTCATTCTCCTTCATTTTATTTCTACTTTGGTTAAACTGTTCTCGGACCCCCTCAGACATAATAATAGCCTTGTTTACTCACGCCTTATCCTCTTTATTAAGAGAGTCCATTATTCGAGGAAAGAATTGCAATCAAACAGAATTTATACAAATTTATTTAGGCTTGTTACAATCCAAGTACTATAAGCGTTGTTAGAATTCGTTGTACCGATTCTACAAAATTCTGTGTTTGCACATCTGACAAGAAAGGTTGCTTTACTGTAACTCAAAGTGCACCTCTCTACCAGGCCGATTATTTAATTTATGCCAATGGTTTGATTTTGGGAAAAATACTCAAAAATACACATTAATTTTTAGCGAGCTATACCTTTTTGGCTCTCAATACAGGAGCAAGTCAAATAAAAAATATCGGTACTGGTAAAACATACGATTTTCAATCAAGCATGACTTTCATACCAAATGACAACACATTTTTGAACGCTCAGTATCTCGCAAGTATGTTACTATATTTCTTACGTTATTATTGCCTAATTGCCAATAATAACGGTATAATGGGCCTCAAAATAAAATTACATTTTTATTCTTAATAAATCTATCAATTGATAACTTTCTTCTCAATTTAGTTTCTTGTAATGGTTGCAACCTTATACACAATAATGGAATGGATGTTCAAAAGCCTTGTTAAAAATTGAAGATAATAAATAATTGAATAATAAAGATAATAAATAATTAAAAATAATAGATAATTTTGATAAATATGAATAATTAATAATTCATTGGGTTAATATATGAATAAATATATACTAATAAATGGCTTTTGTTATTAATAGGGCTCGGATTTGTAATTTTGTCGAGAGCAGGGCTGTTAGCCATAGCGTTTTGACGTGGCGTTTGGTGTCCATTTTTGGCCGATTTTGGCGTTTAACGTGTTTTTCCATTATTTTTACACACATACTGATGGAAATTTTTTAAATAAATGGGAGGAGAGATGATCACAAAGTGAATTTTTTGCATAAGTTTTACAAAATTTCAAAATTTTCGTCTGCGACGCTAAAATAATACTAGAATACCTAATAAATAAAAAATATTTTTGCAGAAAAATGAATATTAAAATTATTTTTATTAATTATTTTCTGCTTAATTTATTTTACATTTTTCCTTCAAAAAATATTAAGCAAATCTTTAGTTTATTTAATTTATTCACGTAAAGTCAAAAAGCACAAAGTCAATAAAAATATGTGCCAGTTATATGCAATTAATGTAACCCATTTATAATAATAGGTATATGAATATGCATGAGGAAATTAAGACAACTTTTAGTAATGTGTATGTATATAAATGGGTGCGCGGACATATCGGGACGAGCATATTGGGATTGTGGTGACAAAAATAATTTCTTGCGTGTTTACTTTTGTTCTAAAACATAAAAACTCTATTCCTCAAAGGAACAATATACTATTCAAGACCCAGTGGCCGTAGGTCACGAAATCAGTGGGGTAACTGTTCGTACATTGAAATATCCCGATATAACCGTCCCGATATTTTCTCGTGCCATATAAATGTAAGTGCCACTTATGTACATGAAGTGAATGTTAATTTTTATCAAAATTAGATCGAATTATTAATATGTAATTTAATAAGCTAATTCTGTTTTATTTTGAGCAAATTTGTTTTTTAATTATTACTTACTATTTTTATAATTAATAAATTGATAAAAATTATTATTTGCTTTAAATAGAATTTACAAATTTTATACGAATAATTTTTAATTTAATTTATAATTAATTAGATATAGGCGTTACCATAGGTATTGGATATTTTATAATTTAATTGTTAGTTTACCTTGGCAATTTTTTAATTTAATTATTATATACACAACACATGTCATAATTTTGTGATAATATAAAAACGGAGAAAATTACATTAGTAAGCAAAAAATTATTCAATTAAACGGCAAAAAAATGTTGCGGAATATTAAAGGCTCGAATTTAATACTGAATTAGAGCTATTTACAGAAATTAGCTATATTCCAGCTAAACATAAAACCCAATAAAAAACATTAAAATAATAATATTAAAATAATTTAAGGTAAAATCTATTATAAAATTAAAAATGGAAATAACTCCAACAGTATATTCTGTAGCATTTATTGAAATAATCCCAATAACAATTTTAATTCCTTCTTCTCTTTTAAATTTATTTTTATTGTGGAAAAGTTGTGTTTTAAATAATAATTCTAAAATTATTCTTATTTCACAAAGTATTACTATTTTTATTTACTCATCGACACGGTTATATGTGTAAGTTAATTTTTAAAAACAATTAGAGTGCGTAAATTTATTGAAACAAAATCGCAAAATATGGCCTTAATTATGAATGCTTGATGATTGTTTGCTGATTCTGAAATGAATCGTTATCATTAGCGTTTTAGCATAGGTCAAAACTGTTGCTTGCTTTTCCTTTTTTGTCCCGTAGCTGTTTCATTGTTTACTTTCATTTTTTCATAAATTAAACATATTGCGATTTGGAATATTGGCAAAATCATAATATTATCGTTAACTTATTTCGCACTCTAATAATTAAAGATAAAAGATAACAATTTAATTTTTAAGGCTTATTCTCGTCATCTCTGGACAATATGATTTATTCATTAAATTATACTATTTTATTGGGAATATTGAATATGTTTGTTTAACTTTTGGTAATTTAATTGGACATGTATTAATTTTGGAGAGAACTATAGCTACTTTATTTGCCACAAAATATAGCCAAACTAAAGTTCCAATTTTTGGAATTTGTTGTATTTTAATTTTGGTATATTTATAACTAGTTTTTTTATTGATAGGAGACGGATATAGGAAGCGGATAGGCCAAATTTTCTTTGTTAACTTTACTTTTATGTTTCGTAAGATGGGGGATAATTTACTCAAATTTCCGATAATTTCGTAGACTGAGTAGATAACTGTAATAACATTCTTTATTTTTCAGTTGTTTTTCACAATAATTGATAGATTAATACCTACAAATACTAATAATCCCAGTATATCAAATTTATATAGTGTTATTTTATTAAATATTTCATTGTTATTCAGCATAATAGAATTAATTGTATGCTTTATATTTTAATTTAATTTAGAAAATTTTTAGGCATTTTCTCGATTGACAGCCTTCAATAAAAAAATGTATAAAAAATATTTGAATAACAAATCTAACACAAAAAATAATTACACTTTGAGTGAGCGTTATCGACAATTAGAAAATGTTTATACAGGAAAGCAATTGGCACCTTCCTTTTTCTTCCATTTTATTAATATTTTGACTGCAAGTATTGCTTCTATAACAATAAACTATTTCAACTTAAACAATGAAATGATGAACAATTCTATGAGTTTCTCATTATTAATATTTGCAATTTGTAAACTTGGTATTGAAATAACTGTAATAACGTAAGTATGTAAACTTACCCTAGCTGGTTATATTAAAAAGAAGGACTAACCATGACACCTAAACTTGACATCGCGATTCGAGAACAAAAATTTACAAGATTCTGATCTCGTTTCTTACTGCTACATAGGTTTTTATTCCCACACATCCCTGCTTTCCTAAGTTTATAACTCTTTGACTATACCATTTATTTTAATAAATCTCTTTTAATCTCTATTTATAGATGCCATCCAGTTTTAAATAAAAATTTAAATAAAATTATAAAATGTGGACGCAATTCCAATAAAATAAACGTTGAAAAACAAACAGTAATTAATTTACAACAAATTGTTGCTGCTTCAAAAGAACAGGAATTGCATTTTGAAATGTTAAAACTGTCGTGGATGTGATATGATAGAAAAAAAGTGAGGAAAAAATTCTTATTTTACGAACTTTTGTTTAATTATATACAGAGCGTAAAAAGTTCCCAGAATTTTTTTTAAATTTCAATTATTGGACTTGAACATTGATTATTACATCAAAATTCGTTCATAATCATATTTAGCACTATTTTTGGTTCGGAAAACATTTAATTCATAATTATTTTTCAGAGAATATACAGTAGTCGACATAAAGATAGGGACAAGAGTAATTTAAATGAAAATTAGCTATTTCTCAGTCAAAAAATACGTTCAACTGAGATACGAATAGAGCTTTCGATTGATATATAGAACGTATTTTTTGACTGAGAAATAGCTAATTTTCATTTAAATTACTATTTCCCTATCTTTATGTCGACTACTGTATGTCGAATAGCGGCGGATCTCATTTTAAACATTTGTTATAATTAGAGTCCGGATTTTTATTGAAATAAATTCGCCAAATATGGCCATAAAATATTGAAATAAACTGCCAAAATATTTACAAAAAATCCCGAAAATTAGTAAAATATTGAAATAAATCATGGCTTATTCACTAATAAAAATCTAAAAAAATGTTGAATTTTAGAAAAAAAATTAATTCCGTCTTTAATAAATAATCCCGTCTCTAATAAAATTAATCCCGACTTCGATAAATTGAGTATTTTTACTGTTGTGCATTTTTAGATGGGCTAAATTGGGTAGGTACATTTTGGTGATTATCTTCTGCGGGACATTTTGTGGAGTTTGGTTCAGCGGGACAATTTGGGGATTTTTGTTCAGGGTGCATTCTGGGGACGCCCACTTCAATATACGCTGTTTTGCCGATTTTTTGGCCGATTTTGCCAGAATAAGTCAAATTTCCCTTTTTTTAGCGCCGCAGGCGAAAATTTTTAGATTTTTGTAAGGTCAAGAAGCCAAAGTTCTTCACTTTTTTCCTAAAATTTATGAAAAATACCAAAATTTTGGTAAAAATATGCAAAAATATTGAAATAATTTGCAAAAAGTACAAAATATTGAAATAACGGGGAAATTGTCAAAATATTGAAATATATTGAAATACTGCTTTGTCCAGAATCATAATATCGAAAAACTAATACCATATTTGGGCTCCTCTTGACAAAGTGTGTTTGCAAAAAAAATATTTATTTCAATAAAAATCCGGACTCTAGTTATAATTATTTATTTATAAGAGATTCTTTTAAGCGTTTTGTTTGTGTAAACTCATTTTTATTTTGATATTAAAGAAAATAAATTTATTTATCAAATTAAACTTTATTTATTTACATGATAAATATTTTTTACAAAAAATAAGAGAAATAAAATAATTATTTAATTTTTAAAGGGCAAAAAAAATTAATTTTTCTTTAATAATAAATTAATTAAAAACGTGAGAAATCTTGATAAAAATTTTTATTTTCTTGTTTACATTTAATTTAAATTTGCACTTTTTAAAAAAGTAAAAAAAAATTTTTTTACCTGGGAAAATTTTGTTAGCTTGTGAATATGTACCTAGAATTGTTTAAAAAATTTTTATTTGTTTATGTTTAACTTTTCATTTTGCTTTTCATATAGTAAATTTTATGTTAATATTTTATTAAAATGTTTTAACAAGCATTCAAGAAATTTGTTAATAAAAATTTTTTTAAATTGAAAAAAAAAGATAATAATAATTTTAAGATTTTATTAATAACAATAATTAGAGCGTGTCCATGATGAGATAAGTCGATAAAACACTGCTTTAGCACGGGGTACTTTTCAAGTTACTAGAACCTAAAGAGCCTATTTCGGCCTTTTCTGGCCTAAAACTATTTTGAGCCTATGTCGAGCTCTTATGACTAATTCTAGGTTTTTGAAGAATTTTTCTAAGATTTAGCTATTTTCAGATTATTTGCAATTTTTCCAGCCAATTCTGGTTTCAGGACATCCAGGCCTGTGGGCCTATCCACAGCTGGTCCAGGTCCCACTAGGTTAATAACTGGTAAGAATGTTCTTGTTGGATTTGCCCGGCGATTGATACTTGTACGATGGAGATCTTTTAGTTTTAGTCATAGAATACTCGTTCTGCTTAATCACTGATCGTTTCTATAGACACTTTGCCTTTTTACTATCAACCAACACGTTTTGACATAATATTTCGAAATAACTTTATGAAATTTATTTGTTCACTCGACAAATTTTCAAGATTTTCTAGTAAAATAAAAATGGAAATAACTCCAACAGTTTATTTTGTTAGTTTTATTGAAATAATCCCAATAACAATTTTAATTCCTTCTTCTCTTTTAAATTTATTTTTATTGTGGAAAAGTTGTGTTTTAAATAATAATTCTAAAATTATTCTTATTTCACAAAGTATTGCTATTTTTATTTATTCATCAACACGGTTATTTGGGTATGTTAATTTTGAAATGAATTAAGCAAGCTTCCCTAAAATATACACTCAATATTTTATACAAGAAAATCCTTTACAAAACCGTTAAGCCCTGTGGGGCATTGGTGGTACCCACATGTTATTGAAGTTAGGGTAATAAGCCAAACTGTGATAAGAAAGTATAAAACCACCTAGTTTTTTCTGGATTCTATTTTTGTTGTTATTGGACATTATATTCATCTATAAATCCAGAAAAAAGCTATCTGGTTTTATGATTTCATAACACATTGTAAAATATTTCATCCAATAAGCATATTGCTTTGATTTTTTATTGGTTTCATACATCGCTTCATTTTAGTTCACATTCTTAATAATTAGGCAAGATTCAATCACGCGAGGTGTTGTAGTTATATGTAGTGGCATAAGTTTAAGAGGTTTTTAAAAGTCGGCGATAATTCAAAAAAATATTTGATAATACATATTTTTCCGGCAAAAGTTATGTCTTATAGTGAGGTCCGATTATATTAAAAAAATTTGGCGCTGGTCTAGTTTATGCGTCCAAGAACTTTTATGAGTCCAATGAAAAGTTTATGAGTCCAATCAACAAAAAATTGGATTTTTCTTAGCATTGCAAAGTTGGGGTATGGTTCCAAAGCATTTTTCATGTTTGTGACCTACGCCCACTGGGGTTGGGACCGTTTCTTGCCCTATCCCTCGAAATTTCGGAAAGTTATAATTGTTTTTTCGAAATTTTTAAAAATTGGCTATAACTCACCCAAATTTCGAGGGATAGGGCAAGGAATGGTCCCAGACCCAGTGGGCGTACGTCACGAACATGAAGAAATGCTTTGGAACCATACCCCAACTTTGCAATGCTAAGAAAAATCCAATTATTTTTTGATTGGACTCATAAAGTTTCATTGGACGCATAAACTAGACCAGCGCCAAAAATTTTATTTCAAGGCTTATTTTGATCATCTCTAAACATAACAATTTATTTAATTCGACGTACTATTTTCTTGGGGATATTGGATTAGCTACTATAAATTTTGGTATCTTAATTGGACATGTCTTAATTCTGGAGAGAACTATAGCTACTTTATTTACTACAAAATATAGCCAATCAAAAATTCCAATTTTTGGAATTTGTTGTATTTTAATTTTGGTATTTAATTAGTTTCTAATATACCTAAACATATAGAGAGTAATTTAATGTGAATCGAAGGTTCCAAAATTTGGAGCGATTTGGGATTTTGGAACTCGAGGAGATTGGACTCCGTTTGGGGCTGTAAAAAATGAATTAAATGGTTCCCAAATATTATTAAAAAAATAGACGTACTAAAATATCGAGAAAAACCGTATATATTTTCCAAAGCATGGTGCTTGATATCCGTAAAAATACAGGGGAAAACAATAAGGCTGGCGGTTCCGGGTATCCGGAACCGAAAAAACCTCGGATATCCAGAAATCTTCGGTTCGGATACCGGTTCCGGTTCCGGATATCCGGAGATTTCCTAGGAACCGCTATCCTTAGAAAACCATGTACATTTAGTAATAGTTGTTTAAGTTTTGTGATTTCTTTATAGCAAATGATATATTTTATTTTTTAAAGT